CGAGTTCTTGAATTATCTTTTTTTAAGTTATCAAAATGTAAACGTCAAAGAGTTACTTATGACAAACTACTATCTTAATTTCATCAAAGTTTTGTTTGTTAGTATACTGTTGTGCAAAAATGACCCTTTGCGGAGTTATTATTTCACGATGTCAAGATATGATTGCTTTCATTAGAAGGCTTCAGGTTAATCTTGTTTCAATTTACAGAAAACAGCAAGCAAAGCCAAGCATAGAAAATTAATTAACAAGAGCAATCTGGCAATTTCGAACAAAAGTTACCAGCAAATTTGAAATGTCGGACAACTTTAAGACATGTTAGCCCTGAAATGTTAGCTTTTGTATTATTGAATTTTTAAATTTAAATCCTTTGTTTTTTAAAGTTCTGTTTTCGCTAGAATTTATAGCGAGAGAAACCAAGGAACCAAACGAAATTTCTGGTGAACGAAGATCAGTGTGTGAGAAAAGACGACAATTGAAAGATCGAAACAAAGTTCAAAAATTGTTCAGGCGCTGTTTTAAAGTTGACTTTTTAATGCTTTCATTTTGCGAATTTTATGACATTGAATTCTGCTTCTAAATACCGAAATTTATGTCAGTTCGATATTATTTGTTGGCTTTTATTCCCGATAGTTACGGTTAATTTACGCATGAGATGAAATGTTGTCAATCAACCAGCTACCCAACAACTCCAATCTACCTCAGAACCAAAACGAGGCATAAATATGGTCCGCCGACCCGGACAGGACCAGTTCCAGGATGAGAACTGACCCGACTGACCTTGGAGCTCTCACCTCTTTTCGCTCTGTTAGGATGCGAGATGTTCTCGCAGGAGCTCATAGTAAGAAAAATCAAAATCGTAATAAATGAATTTACTGGTGAACCAAGAACAGTGTGTGAGAAAAGATGAAAACTGAAAGATCGAAACAAAGTTCATGAATTGTTTAGGCGCTATTTTAAAGCTGACTTTTTTATGCTTTCATTTTGCGTATTTTATGACATTGAATTCTGCTTTTAAATATCGAAATTCATGTCAGTTCGATATTCTTTGTTGACTTGTAATTTCCGATAATTACAGTTAATTTACGTATGAAATAAATTGTTGTCAATCAACCAGCTACCCGAAACCGATCTACCTCAGAACTGAAACGAGGCAGAAGTTCTGCGTGTTCTTCTAACATGTCCAGTATCTTCTGAATTTTTTTCTGCCGTTCTGGCCACCAAGTAGTAATTGTCCAGACCTTCATTGTTTTTATGCCTTACTTCTATCTCCAACTGCTCTCGATCCTTTTCGCTAAGCTCAAAAAGTAAAAATTTGAAAAATAGAGGAAAAAAAACAATTAATTATTTATGTTGAAGGCTATGAAAACTTATATTACATTTATTGATTTATTGTTAACTATTTTTGTGAACTTTTCGTAATAAATAATTGCTTGTTACGAATTGAAACAATTAAATGGAGTAGATTGGTTTACGATGAATTGAATGGTGTTTTTTCGACATGTATCAATTCCATTTCTTCACTGTATCCGAAAGTGTTCAGAACTTGATGCTCCGGTATGCGAAATCTGAGTCAGGGGTGAGTCTATCTATTCATATTTCAAGACACGAGTCGTTTTGGTTGGAGATGAATCTGAGATTCTATCTAACGTTGGTCGGCTAGCTCTCGAGTCGCTGCGGAGTTGCTTGGATCTGCGACTAGCTATAGAGTTGCCTTTGCATTCAGAACTCGTTAGAGAAGTAATTAAGTCTTTCAAAAGGTGCGAAACAACTATAAACAAGTTTTCAAGTTTCAAAACATCGATGGAATCATGAGTGAGAGTTCTCTTTAATGATATATTAGTTGACCCCATTTGATGTTTTTGTGGTTCCTGATTTTGGGGGAAAAAGCTTAACGCAACAATTCGCAGCAGACGACAAATCGTAACAAGGCATTGGCAAGTAGCGAACACTTGCTCCGTTTCGCTCCTTTGCGCTTTCATTCAGAACAAGCGGTTTTGCGCGGGCGAATTAGTTTTTCCTGCTGAATCCTACGTTACGAAGTGTTGCCGGTTACGAATTACCGTCTCATGGTAAAAAATGATGTAATCGTGTTTGCATTCAATTCAAAAGCACGCTGAATCAACGGTTCTGCTGTTCTACTCCAGACAATTCTTCAATTAACGTAGTAAACCCTTCACAACAGCAATTGATATCAGACAAAATCGCTGGCTTGTTATAGTTTTTCTTAGAGAATTTTCTAAGAGGGGTTTTTAAAACAATTTTTTGAAATCATACCAGCGAGCTGGCAAGCGGTGGGTGCTCATCGAGACACAACAATACACAGAGAAACACAGTGTTTCAGGGTTGGCATGTTATTTAACATTGTTATTTAACATTGAATTTAACTTAGTGTTATTTATAATTTCTAACAGTGATGTTAGCTATTTCTTAGAAATATGAGTAATTCTTAGAAAAACACAACGCAACTATACTGCATGCTTGTTCCGAAACGATTGTAGCGAATCCCGAACGGATTAATTTTTTCTTTTTCAAACCAATTGCAGTTTCACTTGACAAACTACAGAGCGATAAATCTCACCTGACGTATGGGAAGCTTCGTGCTCAACTCGGCGTTGAGAAAGCCGGAAAGTTGGCGTTTCTGTTCAAGAAACTCAACTCTTGTTGATATGTTTTTTTAATTAACAATTTAACAAAAATACCATGTTTTTTTTTGATAAATAACAGTTAGTTTGTTATTTTTGTTTTTAACTTACATTTTGCCAACCCTGCAGTGTTTACTTGGTTACAACCTGATTACTCCGATCATCAGCAATACTTCGGAAATGATGGTTTATGTGCAGATATCGATTACGTGCAGTTTACAAATATCGATTATCGGACAAACATTTTAAGATCGCGTGTTTGACCACGCTCTCGTCGCACTGGACTGAAATTCCGGTGTCTTGAAATGTTTGCCCGATAATCGATATTTGTTTTCGGAACTACAGTGCTGATTTAAATTATCAACAAACAAAACTTGAATTTTCTAAAAGCGTTTTCCTCACATTGGGTTAACGTTAGACAAAAAGAGATGAGAACAAAATTTGCTTAGAATTTCATAAAAATTAATATAGTGCAATTTTTTCTCCGAAATTCTCAACCAAAATTTTACCCCAAAAATGGGTCATTTTGGCTTTTTTTAATTAATCAAGAATTACACTGAAACTACTTTGTTAATTGATGAGAAAATCATAGCACAAGAAGCCTCCTAAATAGCCCAACAAAGTTTAAGAGGGGTTTAATCTCCAAAAACCAGTATAAGAGAAAAAGATTTTACTTGATAGTCAATAAATGTGATTTTTACTATATAAAACCCAGAATCTCTGTTTAAAAACAAACTTTAAACAACTTGCGCAAAATTTTGGAAATATGATTCTTCTTCAACTTTGTTGGGCTATGTAGGAGGCTCCTTGTGATATAATTTTCTTGTCAATTAACAAAGTAGTTTCAGTGTAATTCTTGATTAATTGAAAAAGCCAAAATTACCCATTTTTGGGGTAAAATTTTGGTTGAGAATTTCGGAGAAAAAATTGAACCATATTAATTTTGATAAAATTCTAAGCAACTTTTGTTCTCTTCATTTTGTGTCTAATCTTAACCCAATTTGAGAAAAACGCGTTTGAAAATTCAAGTTTTGTTCGTTTTGTCCGGATAATTTAAATCGTCACTGCAGACTTTCACAGACTTTCTGCACGTAGACTCACTTGGACAAGAACCACCGATCTCTTCGGGCATAAGAGCTGAAAATCTTTATCTAGAAAATATTCTTTAGAAATCTTTCAAATTATTTTGCTAATAAGACAAATTGACCTCTCCAATTGAAAAAAGTCCTAATGGAGCGAAAAAACTGTGAATGACCATGAGATTTAAAAGTGGATTTCAAATTTAAACTTTTCCAACAAAATAAACAAATTACTTATCGACCGTTTTCTCTATTTGCTTTAGTTTTTATGAAAACAATGTCGATTCTCAAAAATTCCCGAAACTCAGTATTTTCAGAAAACTAAACCAATTAGAGAAAACTGGGTCGATAATTAATTTGTTTATTGATGGGAAAACTTGAAATTAAAATCCATTTTTGAATTTTATGGTCATTTACAGTTTTTCACTCCATTAAGACTTTCTTAATTGGAGAGCTGAATTTGTCTACTTTTTAGCAAAATAATTTAAAAGATTTCCAAAGATAATAATCCGCGAAAGAAATCAAATTTGAGCGTAAACAAAAGATTTTTTCCGAAAATGGAACACGACGTAAATGAATATCTTCATTTTGTTCATTGAAGCTTCATCAGCTCACCTGGACCGCAATCGAAGATTGGAAAAGATTAATGAATGCAAGTAAACAAAAAAAAACACTGAATTTGGTGAAAAATTCTCAACTTTGGAATTTCAAAAAAAAAATTAAATGCCCTTGAAGCTCTTGAAATTCTAGAACGATTTATGGCTGGTGCTTTTTTGATAACGTTAACCCAACTTGAGAAAATTGGATCAACAGGTAAAGTTTTATTCCGCTCGAAATCTAAAAACTAAATTCCACTTTCGAAACTAGAAATCGTTCACGTTTTTTTGCGCCATTTCCAAGATCATATTCGGAGAGTGCTATTTACGTCAATTTAAGCAGATGAATTTCAATAGAACTCAAAAAGTGCATATATACCTCAGTGAATTCATAAATGCATCAATATGTACGAATGTACATCTGTAGTTATTAGAGACTTTTATGCACATTTTAATACTTTTTCCTGAAAAAAAAAACAGCAAGACCTATAAAAGAGTTTTCATTGCGTTTACTACTTTAAAAACTATTTTAATTTCAAACAGACTTCATCTGGTACTGTAACCTTTTGGACATAAATCGAATTCTTGAATTATTTTTTTTTTAGTGAAGAACTGAAATTTCAACCTCTACAATAACCTATCAGAAATCAACTTTTTTTAAAATCTTTTTGTAAAACCAAAGTAACTATAAGCTGTTAATTTTTAGAACTGAGTACATAAGACAAAATAGAAATGAAACTCAATGATTGTTAAAGTTCAACTCAATTAAGCACTTAGATTGAAAATAATTTCATTCTCATTTTCAAAACCGTAATGCGACAACTCGCGACAAAAGACAATTCGTAATAAAAAACAACTCGCATTAAAAGACAACTTGCAATATACTCGCCGACGCAATGACGCCATCCAGTTGCGAGCTTACGAACAGATGTTAGGACTTTATACGAAATTTAGAGCCAGTTATCGCCGCGAAACTGCGACGCGCGCGTAGCGACCACCAAAACCGGTGGATCTTAAAACTGATTTCTCAGGTTATAAATTAACTTCCAAACTTTGCAAGTTGTCGCTTTCATTAAATTTTGCGAGTGGTCTTTGGTTACGAGTTTTCTTTTGCTGCGAGTTGTCGCAGTTATTTTTCTGAAAACCATTGCTTTGCGGTATCCAGATATATTATTCGAATATCAAAACTGTAAACTTCAATGAGTTACTTATGACAAATGACAATCTTAATTTCATCAATGTCTTGTTTGTTAAAATATATTGTTGTGCAAAAATGACACTTTGCGGAGTTATTAAACTACGATGACAAGATATGATTTCTTTCAATAGAAGGGTTAAAGATAATCTTGTTACAATTTACAGAGACCAACAATTTAATGAAAAAAGAGCAATCTGGCAATTTCGACCAAATTTCACAATCAAGTTTGAAATTTCGGACATATTGAGGCATCAATTTTGTCTGAAGTATTAGCTTTTGTATGCTTGAATTTTCCTATTTAAATTTTTTGCTCTTTTTTGAATTAATTCTGCGTGTTTTTTCGGTTGGAATTTTGCAATTTATTATAGCAGTCTGGATTACTCTTTTCAAGTTTCTTTTTTCTCCTCTGCTTCGCTTTTTGATTTCGAGCTCCATGATGGCGACCATGAATACATTACTATAGATCCGATAACAAAAACAGTTCCGAGAATAAACTGACTTGTAATTTGGAAGTCGAACAAAAACATTGCACCAATACAGGCAACTAATATCGCAGCAGCACATGCAAATGCCTTTAGAATACTATCTGCATACTTGACGACCATGGAAACTAAGAGACCTCCGAGACCTTGCAAGAGCACTGCAAGCCATACAGCTGGTGAAAATCCCTTTAGGAAACCTTTCTCCAAAATTTCAGCTCCGTCGTAAACAACGCCAGTTAACGTGCCAAAAACAACTCCTATGAGAGCCAGTTGTATGTTGGCGCACCAGATTGATTTGACTTTGGACATTTTGCCTTTCACTAGGCGCTCAAACCAAACTCCAGCAAAGCCTGAAACGAAAACAAACAAAATTTAGTTTATCTGTAAATTCGAATAATTTGATCAGGTTTTGCTTTTTTTGAGTGCTCAGGGATTCGACCACGTAACCAACCAAAGGATCCCCCTTTGGTATTTTTTTTTAAATCCGTTTTCGGACGATCAACCCGTAAATGTTTTTTGGTCAACAATTTTTGGTCAAAGTTTTCGTAGAAGTGTCCAAAAACGGCTTTTTACCTGTTTTTTTTTCATTTGCCTGCAGCGCAGAAAACTTTATCAAAATAGGATCATTATAGTGTTCTGTGAAAGCTCGGAAAAACAATTTGTTCGTTCTAACAAAAAGTTCGACAAAATTTTCGATTTATTTTTGAAAATCCTAGATCCACCCCTGAGTGCAAGCGACTAGGTTTGAATTACTTCTAATTCCATGCTATGACAAAGAGACGAAGCGGTGATGCTCAGTTTCACCAATTTTTTAACCATAAAACCAATTAAAGCATTTTTAACCAAGTTGGCCTAACCCATTTTGCTTTTAAACAGTGATAAAAAAATATCGATTCTCTCAAACATATTTTATTTATGCATGTTCTGAGCTTTACACTTTTGCTGTTCGGTAAGGGAGTTTGCCTTCCTTTTAACAAAAAAATGAACTGAACTTAGAAAGAAATCATAAGTCAACAGCGGAAAAGGATATTTGATCCTGAACAAATTTTAAGACTTTTCCTGAAAAAAACTCAAAAAAACCATCACGACCAATAAAAGAGTCTGAACTATGTTCATCGACTCTTAACTACAAAATAAGGGCTGCGCTGTCCCATCTAAACATTAATGCGATTTTAAAAACAGCAATCTCCATCACTTGGCTAATGTCATTTGAATATTTCAAATAGTAATTGAAGCATTGACGCACTGGACTTCAGATATAAGCGAGACTGGACTTCGGATGTCAAAAAAGGGCAAAAAGAAGCTTTAAAATTGAAAGAAAATACCATAAGTGAATAAGCTTTGAGAAAATAATTGTGTGACTATGGGATTCAAACCGCAGACCTCTATATTTTGAAAAAGCTCTTAATGATTGAGCCAACCTTGCTAGCCGCATTATGAAGTCTACACATTTGGAAATACCAGCTGCTGAACAAAGCGGATGAAATATAGCCAACAGACAGTTGGAAAAGAGTAAATGAACGCAATTAAACAGAAAAAAGTACCGACTTGTTTATACAAAAAAAATCTCAACTTTCGAACTTCAATGAAAAAAAAACTAAAAGTCCTTAAAGCTCTTTGAATTTCTAGAACACTTTATGATTGACCTTTTTTCGATAAATTGAGCCAAATTTTATTTCGCTGGTAAATTTTTTATTTTGCTGAAAATTATATTCCCCTTTCGAAACTAGAAGTTGATCACGTTTTTCGCGACCTTTACACTTTTGGTGTTCCATAGTAGAGTGTGCCTTCCTTTCAACAAAGGAAATGAACGAACTTAAAAAAAATGAAAAATCAAACCTCGAAAAAGTGAATTTTAGCCTGAAAAATTTAATCATCGCGACCGTTCATCGACTCTTAAACACAAGCTCCTAAATCGGTAGCCAATGGAATCGATCACGAGTTTGTGAGTTAGGTTGCCAAACACGTATTATAACACAAATAAAAACGTTTCCTTGGGTAATTATTTGGATAGAAAACAAAATGACCATGGTTATGAGCCATCATTTTTTTTTCACAAAAATGCTCATGATTATGAGCCAGCGTATGTTGCATATTCAGACATAAGCCCAGAAAAAATTGACAAATCAGTCCAGCAAAAATTGTGGTACTAAAATAGTACCAAAAGGTGATTCTTCACAAAAATGTTACCACCGCCTTACTCCCTTCCACTCGTGACAAATTTCTAATGAAAAAGCTACACTTTACGTTATGTCGCCAGAATTAGTTTTAAGCTTTCCCAGATATTACAGATCGGACTTCTATCTGGCAAGAATTTGAATTCTATCAAGAAAACATAGCCAATCGAAGATTGGAAAAGAGCAATGAACGCAAGTAAAAAAAACACAGACTTTGCTGAAAAAAATCTCAACTTTCGAATTTCAAAGAAAAAATAGATGCCCTTTAAGCTCTTTGAATTTCTAGAACAATTTTTGATTGGCACTTTTTTGATAACAATAACCCAACTTGAGAAAACTGGATCAACAGGCAAAGTTTTGATTCCGCTGGGAATCTGAAAATTAAATTCTACGTACGAAACTAGAAATCGTTCACAAATTTTTGCGCCATTTGCAAGTTTGTATTTGGAGAGTGCTTTTTACGTCACTTTCAGCAGATGGATTTCAATTGAAATCAAAAAGTGAATATACACCTACGTGCATAAATTTTTTAAGACTTTTTCCTGAAAAAACATCAGCAAGACCTACGTTCATTACTCTTAAAAACAAGAAGAATCGAAAGTATCAATATTGTTGACCTGATTTTCCTTCTGTATAATGTTCTTTACTAATTATTTCAAACAATATATTTTCAAAATTTATCTTCTTTTCATGGGTTGAGGCTTTTAAAAGCAGTAGAATGGTTATCAAAAATCGGACTTGGAGTTTAACTGGAAGAAAAAGTAACCACGCCAAGCACATGGCGCTATCCGAAAAGAACGATGTTCCACTGATCATATTAGCACAGCAATTAGGGGAAAAAGAATAAGTACACTTACTGATCAGGAAAAAAAAACTGCTAAACTTCCGCTAACTCAATAGTTACAACTTTAATCTTTACCTGAGCTTAAACTAGACAGGACAACAGTGACCACTCCCAACACTTGATTCTGCCCCTCCCTCCCCACTACCTTCTCTTCACTCTTGTCCGACTCCACCAGAGCCAGTCCGAGGAAGAGGACCAGCAAGGCAGCTATCTGGAATGGGGTGAACTTCTTACCCAGCATGAGGAAGGAAAAGAGGGCAGTGGTGAGCAGTTTCAACTGGTATAGCACCTGGAAAAAGAAAAAATGTTTAAAAGTGCCAAAAAACATCGATATTAACACGCAATTCTATTATAAATTTTAAACCTTGCTAGATTGACAGATATTCAATTAAGCAGCATACAGATAATCATCAATACTATATTTCATCACAGAAGGCCTGACCTAAAGATAACAGCTAGCTTCATATGACTTAAAAAAAAAAGAAAGAAAGAATTCATTGCTCCAAATAATTTTTGAGTAAGGATAAACAGCACCAGTTACTGAGACTTCGAGAGAACAGACAGCGGGATCCTAGGATCCGCCAAGCGTCTGCCCTACAGGGTCATAAATAGTTCTATTAGTGAACAAAATTTAAAATAAAAAAAAAAAAAAAAAACGTTCCTTTTGCAGAAAAAAATTATTTATCATGCAAACACACTTCCAAAAGCAAGCAGAGCGGAGAAAAGTGGTTTCAGTATCTATCACGCTGCAACAGTCAGTAATAATGTAATAAAAATAGAAAGAAGAACCTGTTTACTGAACAAACACATTTTATTTGTATTTTCAATAATTTAAATAAGGTGAACTTTTGAAGCTTCGGAATAAATGTAACAGAATGTAATGGATTCAAAGAGCTACGTACACATTTTCCATGTTTAAGCATTGGGTTTGGCCAATAATTTAATTTAAAGGAATTTTAATTTTGAAAGGAAAAACTAAACTAACAACCTTCCGATTGTCATTTAACTGGTCTCGTTCATCAATATAAATTAATTTTAAAAGGGCACATTAATTAGTCCAGAACATGACCAAATTCGCAATTTTTTGACCCCCACAACTTTTTTTTAAAAAATCACAAGCGAAATAGTTTTTTCATGTTTGAACTTGAAGTAGATATCTTCATTGGGATACAAAAAATGTTTTTGCTGATAACTACTATTTCAAATATAATTAGTATCAATGAAAACCAAAGCACAAATTCTTTTTTTATTTTGTTCGAGAGTCAAAACAAAAAATGAGCGCTTTTTCTGGCGTGAAACAGCATTGATACTGGACCTAGCGATCTTTCTAACACAGAGGCGAAGTTGCACTTCGCATACACAAGCAAAAATATGACCGATAACGCTATTGGGAAAAACTGAATGAGTTAAACTTTGAATCTACATAAATTCTTAAGTGACGCAAGCCAATTATGACGCATTAGAGGTACCAGTCGATTTGGAAAAAAAATACTAACTAGCATGCCTCAATTTATAGACTGGACGCATTATAACTAGTTTACGAAAAAGTTCACTAAATATATCTGACCCTGCCAAGGTTCGCACCCTCTTACCTACAGGTCTCCTTTCCTACCTCTACGCTACATATCCATGATACCTTGAAGCTAAAATGATAAGTGTAATATAATAGTACGTGTTAATATCCTTAGCATTGGCTGTACTTAATTGCTGGTTATTGATCTTATGCACATACTGCAATAACAGAACACTTTCAAAGTGAACACTAATAATTGCAACTTAGTTTGGAAAAAAAGAGAGTTCATACTATCACACAAGCTTTGCTTGTGTAAAAAGCGTCTTTTGATTTCATTAGTTTTATTCATTTAAGAATAAAAATTGTGGTAGGAAAAACTCATTGATGTATATGGCTGTGTCTAATTAGCTTATGTTTAAACACAGAAGCGAATTTGCACTTCGCATTTACAAGCAAAAATATGACAGATAACGCTACTGGGAAAACCTGAAGAGTAAAACTTTGAGTCTACAAAACTTCTTAAGTGACGCACGCCAATTGTGAGTCTACTTAATTGCTTAGTGACGCTAGCCAGTTATGACACATTACAAGTACCAGTCAATTTGAAAAAAAAATTACCAACTAACATGCCTCAATTTATAGACCGGACGCTTTTTAACTAGTAAACAAAAAACTTCATAAAAAATCCGACCATGCACAGGTTCGAACCCTCTTATTTTGTTGCTGGTCTCCTTTCCTACCTCTACGCTACAGATCCATGATACCTTAAAGCTGTGCTATTTGTAATATAATAGTCTGTGTTAATATCCTTAGCATTGGCTGTACTTAATAGCTGGATCAAAATGAACACTTTCAAAATGAACACATTTTGTCGAAACAATTGCATCGCAACAATATTTGCGATTTAGGTTGGAACAAAAAAGATAGTTCATTCTAACACAAGCTATGTTTTTTAAATAATGTTTAGTTTTTAATTAAGCTAATATATTACCTAATTATGAAGTAACTGCTCGTTAACCACGCCAATTGCTCAAACAGCTCAAACTCAGGAAAAAAAATAACCAAAACTTCTTGGAAATCAATTTTTTGCCCGAAATACAAATACACTGGAATTTTTAAATTAAAGTAAAAATTACTACATTCTAAGAAAATTTGGTGCTGTGGTGGCTAAGCCGACAAAAACAGCAGATAAACCGAAGTCCGACAAAGATTTTTTGACGCGTGGACTATTTCCGTTTAAAGAAAACAGGTCTTGGCCAGATTCCAACCAATGACCTATGTCTTTGTAGGCAGGTGCGTAACCACACCGCCACATGCGCGAATTAATGTCTGAACATTCAATTCATATGAACCAAATGTAAAATCATTCCCTTGATTATGTTAACCTAGTCTATATTCCGATTTGATTTAGTCTATATTCCGATCTGATAAAGCTAGCAAATCGCAAGTGTAATCATGAAATTAGTTGAGAAAAAACATAGTAGTTTGCAGCTAGAGCTAGACACCTCCAATACTGGCACCAGTGCTATGGCAAAGGATATACTGCATGATCTAACGATCTGATTAAACGCATTAACCTGATTTTAAAAGCATCTAAAAATCACATCTAGGCAGTTACAGGTAAACGCTATATAACAAATAGCAAAGAGACAGTTGGAAAAGAATCTCTGAATGCAAGAAAAAAAACTGGCTTTTTATAGTAAAACTTCAGACTTCGATGTTCAAGAAAATATATATATAGCCTTAAGGCTCTCTTGGTTTCATTAACAGCTTATGATTGACATTTTTGATAAAAATTAATTCAATTTGAGAAAACTGGATCAATAGGTAAAGTTTTTATTCCGCTGAGAATTCTGAAAATAAATAACTAATTGTTTCCAACCTAATGTTACCATTATAATAACAGGATTCCAACTTCTCTGATTTTATGCTTCTATAGTATAGATAAAGATCGAGATCTAAACATCAAAAAAGAAAAAAAAACACTTTCATTTTCATTTTAAAGTTAATATTTTGCTACCATTACATTTTTGTTGTTCGATAGCGGAGTTTGCCTTCTTTATAACAAAGGAAACAAACTTAGAAAGAAACCAAAACTCAAACCGGGAAGAATCAAACTTGAGTGTTAACAAATTTCATCAACTACGTTCATCGACTCTAAATATTTTTAAAAAAGTAAAAGTGAACTTACCTGGTAAGTGGCAGCCGGTAAATTGGACAGTGAAATGAAGAGAAGATTGTTCTGGAATGTGTACAGCAGCCCAGGCACCATCAGAACTGCAAAGTCATTCCAGCTGGAGAAACACTCTCGTTTCACTCTGGACACAAAGGCAACGGGGTTCAAGTTACACTGAAATAAATAAAATGCTTTTAGGTACAAGTATTTAAATTTGGTCACAGGAAAAGTAAGTATGAAAGCTGATACTGAGTTAGGACCGATGTGGTTAACTCATAGAGTAATTTCGGATAGGGTACACCGTCTGCTCGTCACGCTATCTTATTTTCGGCCGGATAGATTCGTGCAACTTCTTAGTCTAATACCGATCCTAATCTTACTCTTATACTATCTAGTCTCAGGTTGTTTAACTAGTCTCTGCTAGGCTCAATAGATCTAGGATATACTGGTTTATTGCGGCTGCTGAAGTCTTCTTGGAGAGTCAACTAATTTCTAAGTTAAATTCAAATCTCTCTGGTGCTGAAATTACAAGTAATTCCAGCACTTACAAATAAGTGGGTTGTTAGTTTGATGGATCATGATTGGTTAATATTAAATACTTTACAGTGGTAAAATATCTAATTTATCCAATCATAAAATGTAGTTTAGATCAGGTTCCACCCATCCGGGTTTTACAGAGTTTTTTAGAATAGTCTTTCTGTAATTCAAAGGATGGATGATGAACGTTGGTTTTTGGCGAACATCATATTTCGTCTGGGTTCTCTTGTTAGAGAAGTTCCAGGTTCAATCGTTGAGTCTTCTCATGACAACGACTGGGTTTTCGCAACAAACTCAAATCTGATTTCAGAATGGTTGGCTATGACAGGTTTTTTCGTTTCATGTAGAGAACTTCTTTGTGTTTGACCTTGTCTGGGAATGGCGTGGAGATTGTGCGTGGAGGGGATGCCTGGTTACTCGGATCTGTACGTATACTTGAACATCGAGGTGGTCATTGGTCTAGTTCAATGAAGTCCTTTTCTGCGAAGTCAAGTCGTACTCTAAATCCTTTGAGTTGTGATTGTGGGCGGCATATTGATTGTGGTTGGCCATTCTTTTTCGAGTGTAGTGGGGTCATTTTGTCTTTGGATGTTCGTCTTTGGTGTTGTATGCTGATCTATATACTGCAAGGTATAATTTACATTTTATAAAATTTTTATTAGTTTGGTGTTTTAATTATGATTTTGGTTAGTTGTTTTCACAAAAACTTTTTGTTTTAGTTCGGTTATTTTGAAGAGTTACTCACCCTTGAGTACCTCTTATTAAAAATAGGAGTGTGGTCACAAAGCGTGGATGTAGCGCGGTGGGTTAGGCCGGCTATAGAGCATGCTCAGGACGTCCTCTCTGGTGGGTTAGGCCAGGAGTGGGAGTAAGATTTCGTGCGGTTTCTGTGAGAGGTCCTGTTATGTGATAACGTTTTATGTTGAGTTTATTGTGGTTTTTCTTATGTTTCGTTGGTTGTGTCCTTTTTTCAAAAATCAAATTGTTTTTGGTATGGGTTTGTCTTTCGACTTTTTTGTGTTTTATTATTTCTTTCTTAGACTTTATAATAGTCTTCAAAAGAATAAATTATCCAGTTTTAAACTGGGTTAATCCGGTTTGGGTACCGTTGGTTTCCTTTTCTTAGTCATGCTGTTATTCTATGTGTTGTGGTGTTTAGTAAGCTGCATTGGTTAGTTTTGTTTAGTATATAGTTCCTTTCCAACCGGGTTAAAGGAAAGTTTGAAACTTGTTATCGTGTGTTAGAGTTGTTGAGTGTGAAAACTTGAAACTGAAATTCATTATTTTGAACAATTCTTCGTGGACGAGCTGTGCGAGTTTGGATAGAATTTTTGTGCGAGTGAATCAAATATCAAAAGGTTAGTACTGCATTTGCGTTTTATCAATTTACTACATAGAATTTCAATTTTACTGCTAGTTTTGGGGAAAAATTAAGTTACAAATTTTCATCATTATTAGAATTACTGCTTTTAGGGAAATAATTTATAAATTAATTTACTACATTGGTATGAATTTTATTGAATTTATCTAGTGTAAAATATTAATAGAGTTTTGAAGAATTTGAAGAAGTTTTCGATTTTTTATTTTTCTTTATTGTATTTTGCAGATGATCGTGAGATGAAGACTAAAAATCTAAATAAAACATGGATAAAGAATGGTTAGTGTTTTATTTTAAATTTATTAGTTAAGAATATGTATAAATTATACTTACCTGTTAGTCGTCGGGGAAAAAACCGTGGGGGAAGATGTCGTGGATTATGTCGGAATTTGTTAGTAACTTTGCTAGTATGCGAATGATGTTTTTAGTTTGAAGCAGTGGCCAAAGCAATTGAAGTGCTTTAATGGTTTTTAGTTCTTCAGTGCCAACTGCAAACTCATAAGGTGTGTTTTGGATGAGATTATATAATTTGTGGTTATATTTAGTGTTGTGGATGAATTCTAATATGGGGATTTCTATAGGTTGAACAAATTCATGTGGGATAAGGAAGGGTCTGGATTCTTCTGCGTTGAAGGTCTTTGCGATGGGACAAAAAATATACATTTGGGTTATGGGATCATAATTGCGAAGAATACCGTGAAGGTTAGTATCTTTGATGCAATATGTGAAGTTAAGAAAAAATGGTGATGTGTATTTAGAGTTAATAAATTGAAAACGATGGTGTGGTTGTCTTGATGGAGTGTGTAGGTCAAAGTGATTTTGTATAAAGCGGTAATATGTATATGTGTGGGTTTGTTTAGTGCGTAACATAATGTCGTGTGAGCAGTGCAAATCTCGTTCATGTGGTGCAAGGAAATGAAAGGTTAGTGAAAATAATTGAAATCTTTCTTTAAAACTTTCGTAAGCTTGTGTGTTGGTTAGTGCTTCAGAAATGATGTGGTCGAATTTGCGATCAAATATATTGAGTGTAAAAACATATGGTGTTTTGATGAAAAATTTTTCTGTGATTTGTGGGTTAGCGAAGCGATCATCATCTAAAAATTGGTCTTGGTTAGTTCGGATGATGTTATGATCGTAATATTCTAGCGTATATTCGTTAGCTCGGGGTGCAGTGTATGTTTTTAGTGATTTTTTATATCCGATGTAAGTAAATTGTCTATGTGTTAGTGGTGTAGTGAGTCGATATAGCATATCTTTATTTCGTTCTATATCGATGTGAGTGTTAGATAAAGGTAGGCAAAGGGGGTTAGTAAAATGATAATATGATGTCCATTGAAGTGTAGGCATTAAAACGTGTTCATCTACAAAATTGCGTGTGTTGTTAGTGTCGTTAGGGGTGTTCAAAGTATACTGTGGAAATGAAGGTAAGGTGATTGCTAAAAATTCTCTCGTGTTAGTGTGATTTGGGTGATTAATATATTCACGGGCTATTCCTGGTTTTGTTGGGAATGGATGGTTTGGGAATTTTCTTTTGAAAGTGCGGTAAGCTCTATTAGTGCTAATTGATGATTCGGTGGATGTGGATGATGGTGCTAATGATGCGGTATAAGCTGAAGAGGGTGTAGGGGTAGGTGGGTTTGATGATTCTATGGTTGATGAAATCTGGTTTATAGTTGAGGTGTCAAGGTGGAAGGGTTGTTGTTGTAAGGTGATAAAATTATCTAGTTCTTGGGAGATTTGGGGGGTGTCTGGAGAATTGGATGATCGATCTGAATGAAGTGAAGAGTAGGTTGGGGTAACTTGTGAAGCATAGGAGGGTGTAGAAATGGATGGGAGTGGGTTATATGGTGGGATTGGTTGAAAAGGGGGTTTCGAAAAAACTGAGGGATTGGTTTGAAAATTATTGGATGGAGATGGTTCAGAGTCGGCAAATTTATCAGGGGTTTCAATATCTGGGTTATTGAGTTGTGAGATGGAGTATAAAACTGAGATATGTGAATTAGTGTCTGAATTCATGCCTGATGTTATATTATTGGTTGGGAAATCGGGTGGCGGGAAAGCAAAAAGTGGAATTATTGTAATTGGAGTGTTGAGGTTGGTTGGGTGAGAATTTGAGCGGTGTAGGGATCCAAGTTGTCGGCTCATCGTGGGCTAAAAAAATTATTATTTTGAGACTGAAAAGCAGTTGTATGTGGTTGTTCTATAATTTGTTCATATGTATTTTCATCTAGTGAATTGTGTGTCATTATATGTTGAATGGGACTTTGTGATATGGTTGGTCTGAAATTTGGATTATGTGTTATTGCTAAATTTCGAAAATTTCGTGGGACTAGTGATAATGGATGGTTATGTGGTAGGGGTGGTAACTGTGGTGCTGTAGGCGTAATGTCTACATTGTTATGTTCTTCGTCATATGTGTTCTGTCTTGTTGCTATTTTTGTGTTGTATTCTTTTATTTGTGCGTCTAAAAGAATTTTGTTTATTGATGATGAAAAAATTCCAAAAAATCCTGCAAATAAGATGCGTGCTACACTTGCTTGTCTATTTACTTGTGTGTGTATAGCGCATGTATTATAGATTCCTTTTAAGAGTGCGAAAAGAAATCCTATAAAGTTAAACATTGCGTATAAAATAGTTAATTTTTCTAAGATGTAATAGGGCCATCCTAGAAAATCAAGAATTTCATTTTTGAGTGTAACAAAGCTAAAAATATTTATAGGTGAGATATCTTGTGGTCGGTATTTTTCACCGTTGAGATATATATAGTCTTTAATGTCTTTAAAATATCCGCTATAATCTTGTGTATAAATATCTGCAAATCCTGCTGTTTCGGCAAGTTTGCGTAAGTTTTGGTCAATTGATTGTCTTTGTATAGTGTCCATTTGTGTTAATAATTCTTGGAATTGTTGTGTTCTAATGTGATGTTGTATATCGGATTTTGAATATATTCCAATTGATTGTAAGTCAATATTTGGGTTTCGAACAATAGCTCTAATGCTTTCAGGTGAAAATTTTTTGAGTGATTGCATTAATGTGGGATATGGGGTAAGAAGGTTATATTTATCTTCATCAGGGTTCAGTTGTACTACATTGTGGCTATTTTCTGATCCACATGGGACTGCGGTATCTCAGAAATAGGTTCGTCTTGAAAGTGTGTCAACGAAGTGTACTTTATTCTTATAAAAGATAGGGATTCTTTTATAGCATCGTTTATCTTCAAAAACATATAGTGGTGATACTTTTTTGGTACAGGTATAAAACCATAAAATGTTTCCTTCATAGTCTAAAAAATTTGATCTATTGCCTGATAATAAATATCCTGCGTAGGGTATTTTTAATACTGCTAATGCAAGTGATTGTAGGATTTGTGTTCTTTCTAATTCGCATAGTTGGTGAAGTGTTTCTAATTCAGAGAGTGACATTTCTTGAAAAATTCGGCTAATTGTGTAGTCTAATTTCATATCTAAGTGAATATCATAGTGGATATTACCGAAATATGTACTATTCATTAGTGATAGTTCTTGTAAACGTGTGCTTCTAGTGTCATGGGGTTTTAGATGTCCACCAGGTTGACCTTTACTTTTTTGAAAATTAACTGGTATATATGATGTTCCTTCGTTTATAGGATGACTTGTGGCGTATGGGTCGATTTTTACTTTTCCAGTGGTCATGTCGAATCCTTGTTCGTATTCAACTAATATTTCGGAGTATTGTGTTTTGTGAAGTGGGTTTCTGTATTTACATGCAAGTTCTGTTTCTTGGTATATTTGAAAACGTGTCAATTTATTTTCTATATTGTGTATGTTCCTAAAATTAGAACTTTGTTTTCGTGATGGGTTTACTTGTTCACATGAGTTGTCTTTTTGGTATATCTGTCGTATTTGTGAATTACTTCAGTTGTTATAAATGGTGGTGGTAGGGATTGAGCTGTTATATTTGGTGGATTTAATGGATAGGGATGTTGAGTAATGTTGTTAATTTAACCGTGATTTCAAATTTTAATTGTAGACTATTCTGTTGGAGTATTTGGATGTTATGAGCACGAATGTCTTCGTGAATGTCTTGTCTATATTGTAGTCTATTTAGTGCCCAGTTGTGGAGTCGGTTACTTTCTGGGTGTTGTCCAAATAATGGTGGAGGTGCTGTGAATGTATTCCAGTCTAGTCTTAAAGGAATATTTGTTGATGATTGTTCTCGATATCTAGCGTCGAGGTTATTTGGGAAATTTAAGTTAAAAGGTGGTGGTGAAATCTGGCTTATTGATGGTGTTGATGGTAGTGATAATGTTTCTGGTAGTGATGAGGATGTTGTTGTATCCGTAGAAATATCTATTGGATCATAGATTAAATTTGGTTCACCTTGTGTGAATGAATGTGTTGTCCAATATGGTAGTCGTGATGTTTGGTTTGTAGGGTTAAAGGGATTTTCACGTATTTGTTCAGATGTTGGTGTTGAACCTAAGTAATCTGAGGGTAGGCTTGAGGTGCTACGTTGTGAAAGAAGCGTAGGGGTTTCTGGTAATGTACCAATGGGGTTTTCTGGAGTACTTTGTGATGGGGATTGGGGTATATCAAAATGAACTCGGGGAGTTTGAAAATTTCTGTTTCGTTGAGGATGTATAATTTGTCTATTTACTTCGACTGTGTTTTGGTTTTGACTAGGATTTCGTATTCTACTCAATTCTTGTGGTAATGTTGGGTATAAGTTATATGTTGGTTCACTTAGAGGTGCTTGTCGTTGAACTGGTTCTAGTGGTTCTGATAAGCGAGCGTGTCTTTCTTCAAAGGTATATGGGTTATCTTGAAAGGAAATTCGTGTAGATGTTTGGGGGTTTTGGGTAATTGAAGGCGGTGTTGGGTTTTCCTGGGATGATGTCGGTGAAGACTGACTGTGTGATTGTTGGTTAGCAATTTTTGATGGTTTTTGACCTATTCTTTTAGTGAAAAAATTTATGTTTATTGTAGTATTCTTCTAGAAAAAGAATTAGGAGGATTGTTGCTAGGGCGAATGTGATAATTGCTTTCTTTATACATTTGCATATTGTCAAGATGAGAGATGATAGAAATGTTATAAAAATTACAAATAGTAAGAAAATATCTGTTTTACTAAAAATGGTTCGTATCATTTAGATAAGTTTTGTGAATCGTACCTGTGGATATAGTCAATAGCTTTTGAAAGCTGGAGGTATAGTTCAAATATGGAATAGAAAATTAAAAAAATATTGCAAAAAATGATTAAGATTATTACAAAAGATTCAAAGGTATCAAAAAGAAATATGATGAAAGGTTTAAATATTGTGAAAAAGTTTGCGAGAATGTTTAGAATTATGGTAACTGGTCGAGAGAAGAGCATTTAAGAAATGGCTTCTCGATCGAATATTTTTTGTTGTTTGAGGCAATTTTCAAGTGTGGTCGAATTATTTATTGGTTTTTTGACAAGTGGGTCGAGTTTTGTGAAAAATTGTTGGGGGCAAATTTTATGGTGATCGGGAGGTCTTCTTTGTCTTTATTTTTATTTGTCAAATGATCTGGGGTAATTTTGAGATTTTTATACTTTAGGCTAATTAAAATGGTCGTTCTTTTACTTTAGGCTAATTTAACATATTTGTTTGGGGGGTATTTGAGGTCTGAGTTGGGGAAATATTGTTGATCTTTGGTTTATTAGATAAGGGAGGGTTATGATATTATGGTGATATTTATTTTAGTTGTCAAGTTGGAATGGTTTGCTTATTTTTGACCTGGAGGTCGCAAAGTTATAGTTATAGATATGCCTGGAGTTTAATATCGTTCGTCTAGTTGATCTGGAGTAGTTATTTCGACTATTTGGTCTATTGTAATGATTTTGTGACAAATTTTGTGTATTTCTTCGTTCTGGTGATCTTCCTCTATAACTTGAGTTATATGGTGATTGATTTCTCGGCACCAGATGAGTTAGGACCGATGTGGTTAACTCATAGAGTAATTTCGGATAGGGTACACCGTCTGCTCGTCACGCTATCTTATTTTCGGCCGGATAGATTCGTGCAACTTCTTAGTCTAATACCGATCCTTATCTTACTCTTATACTATCTAGTCTCAGGTTGTTTAACTAGTCTCTGCTAGGCTCAATAGATCTAGGATATACTGGTTTATTGCGGCTGCTGAAGTCTTCTTGGAGAGTCAACTAATTTCTAAGTTAAATTCAAATCTCTCTGGTGCTGAAATTACAAGTAATTCCAGCACTTACAAATAAGTGGGTTGTTAGTTTGATGGATCATGATTGGTTAATATTAAATACTTTACAGTGGTAAAATATCTAATTTATCCAATCATAAAATGTAGTTTAGATCAGGTTCCAATACCCTCCTTTTTTGTAAGAAGTTAAAAATAAAAGTAACCAAATGCAAACCCTCCTATCGAACATACCATTGGGGATTAATATTTGTCTTAGGTACCCAACTATTATGCTTTTAACGGCTTTTCTTATAGTTTCACGAAACCTAGGGAAACATCAAACAGAAAAAGATTAATCAATGAAGTTATCACTTAAATGGAGAGCATGCCATAAAAATCGATAACAAAATAGCCAGTTCCATTGAAACAAACAGAACATTTTGGCGCAGTTATCCTGCCAAAAAAGAGCATAATCCACTCAAATTGCAAACTTCTCTTTTCAAAAAATTCTGTCAATACGAACTATCTTTAACCCTCGACAATTTTTGTCAAATTGTTGACAATCTCTTTTTTCGAGCATAGAACGTAGACGAAGTAAAGAAATCTTAAACTGCATCATTTTTCACTTCTAACCTCAACACTTAACCAGAGTTTAATAACCATAGCACAATAAACACTGTTGCCTAATATATTGATACATTCAAGGTCACCGATTACGCCTTCAGCTCGGTGATAAAGAAAAACAAAACAGCTGACGTGAACAGAAAATCATTTCACAAACCTGGGCTAATATGATTGCTAAACAGACGGTCAACTTCAGTATTTCACACATAGTGACCATGGAGCTAGTCAGTGCCAGTTCACCCGACTGAGACCGCGTGTATCTCACAGTTAGAATATGTGCCGCAGTTTGGACTGTGATTCCAATCAGGATTAACAGTTTTCTGTTCATAATTGGTAATAACTTAAGAAAAAACTACTAACTAATCATCAACTATCTGAAATATACAAAAAAATCAATGCGAAAAAAAACTATAAATAATTTAGAATGTCATACTTTATAGAATTTTATAATTTGCGATAAATTTGAGTAATTTAAGTTATTAATCAGTGATAATCAGAACCTGATCGAACGGAGAAATCAGTGTATAAATAACCCGAATAAACTTAGAAAGTATAGTTTATCAAATTCTATAGATTGCGATGATGTCAAGAAACTAACTTACAAACCAAAGATAATCCATAAATAAACAAACCGCTTCAAAAATAACCAAAATAGATCTAGAAAACATTTGCTGAGTTTATGTGAAAAAAATAAGGCGAATTCTGCCTTTATGGCTAAATATATCTTGTCCTGTCACGGATGCCACCAATATTTACTCGTTCAAGTGTTAAAAACTACTAAAAGATAGAAACCGAATTATAAAGCCGGCAGACAAGATAACTCAATTTTCGAAAATCATTGATTCGAAAGAAAACTTTTGACTAATCGCAAGCGTAGCAATCAATTTTCGGTAAAATTGGTATCTTCTTTGTTTGTTACATAAAAACCACGTTCAAAACTGATGTTTTAAACAACGACTATTATTTTTTCTGTATACTTTTGAGAATTTGAAAAGTTAAAACATAAGCGTACACGCTCTGTTATAAGGCTTTTGATGCCACTGAACTTTTATCTACAACTGAAGCTCAAAAGATTTGATTAAAAAATTATTCTGTAAAAACCACTTTCCTTTCAAGTCTAAATCTACCAAAAACCAGTTTGGAATTCAAATCTGTATATCTAGAAATCACTGATTTTCTTGCTTTTCCATTTTCTCCGCTTCTGCAATTGTAAGCAGTCTGTCGAATACAATCAACTGTTGAGACACTAATTCAACCACTGCGTTGTAATGCGTTACAACATCGTACAACTCCTTTTCGAACTTTTCTTCCGTTTCTTTCGATTTGTAAACATCATTAGCTATCGGTGCCAACTTCGCTAAATACGCTTTGCTCTCTTGAATATGTTGACTTTCCAAATTCTTTTTTAACTCCTCTACTTTTTCAACCATCTTCACGATTTCTTTGAATTTCGATTCGAAAGCTAGGATTAATTCTACATTCGTATCGGAAGCTTCGATTTCAGGATGCAAGGATAGGTTCAGATATTTGATCAAGTCATCTGATTGCTTAAGTGCTGTCGATATTCTCGGTTTTTTGAACAAAACATTCGTTATTTTCGCATCCACTGATTTGAGCCGTTCGCTGAGATTATTTTCCAAAGTTGTAATTTTGTTCGATGAATTTCCATAAATTGTCTGTTCTAAAGCTAAGACTCGTTCCTGGAGGATAATTTCAGATTCAGACGCCATTCTTTTAATCTGAAAGGAAAATAAATTTTGAAAAGCTAAAAGTTTTGATTTTTTCAAATAATAATTAAGCCAATTTCTGTCGAACCTGAAAAAGCAGTTTTACCATCTTCGACAGAAAACTATCTTTTTATATATGATAAAATACCTATAAAATCGCTATCTCAAGTGGTCTCGAAAAATTGTGAACTGAGTTTGATTAGATCCAATAGAATATAACAAAGACGACAAAGATACTTGTCGTTTCAGCCATGTTAACCTTTGTAACTAATCTAGCCGCCTAGATAACATTCTTATGATTTTTTGAAGAAAAAACTGTCTGTAATTACAGCTTAAAATTAGTAGCATTGGTTTAGCAACAATATCAAAGACGCGCTGTTTGAATTGCCAATGAACAAGTCATTACAACACCACGTAAACTCGTTATAAGACGTTCGGCCTAGCCAGTACAAATTAAAAATTAAAACCAAATTAAACGTGTGTTTCAAAGCCAATCTCCAAAAAATTACAATCATAAAATAGTAACCACTTACAGGCATGTTGAGTCACAAATTGCACAAAAACAGACTCAAACTTCAGTCTTTAACTGGAATCAGCAACTATTCCTCTCATCAATCCGAGCCATATGATTACAATTCTGGGAGCCTGCATACCAACCAAACTCGACCCTTTCTGTCGAAGCGATACAACTCGCTTTACCACTACACTCCCACTGATTACAGGTAGCTATAGTTTAAATGGAAAAAATGACAATTCATTCATACTCATGGCCGCGGCTGAATTATAAGACCGCGAAAGGGGAGGGGGGGGAGTACGATGCTTGATATTTTCATATTGAGCTACCATCAAAGACGAACCAAAAGAAAACAATTTTTTAAAATAACTCACACGATGATTGAAGTTAAGAGAATACAATTTTATATCGAAACTGTTGTACTTTTTCAAAACATTGAAAAAAATTGGTATATTAAAAAAAAGTAACAAAAAATAAAAACAATTCAACACCTTTATTTTAAGGGACGACTATGTCCACACAGACTTGGAGTACCCCTTAGATGACAACCTATATGGTCACTCTCTGAGACACAAACTGCACTCAAAACTAAATGGATCACCATTCAGCCACTTCACACCATCGAGAGTATCTAGGACATGGTAAATACTCATTCTTTACTATTTGAATGAAACCAATCATCACTTTAAAAAAAGTGGCAATATTATTAAAATATTGTGAAATTTATTTTTAAATTAACCTTCGTATTTTTCCATGAGACATTTTTTAACCAATAAATATTGAATTATGTGAGTTTTTAATCAAGATTCGTATTTTTCCACGGGAAATTTATTTTTTTAAACAAACCTTTGTATTTTCCATGAGAAATATATTTTTTTAACAAACCTTTGTATTTTTCCATGAGAAATATACTTTTTAAATTAACCTTTCATAAACTGACGAATTGAAACCATTTTGCCTAGTTCAATGCACTGTCAGCCAGCGTCAATTCCAGCAGATGATATCATTCAGGAAAGCAGAGACGCTAGATTCAAAGCATTCGAAGTAAGAGAGCAGCTGAAAATCAAACAAATCATCAAAACTCCGGAGAGTAAGCAAAATTATATTTTCATTGAAACTCTTCAACTTCGGAAAAACACAGTAAATTTCAATTGATTTCACAATTATTCAAACACAGCCTGCGGATAAATTTCAATTACGATTTATCGCATTTTCGAAAAAAATGACGCAACATTTGTGTTCGGGTGTTTTTCCAGACAAAATTCGATTTTTATTACCAGCAATTAATTTTTGACTGAATTTTTGTCAGCAGCCGGAAAAATATTAGTGCCCCAAGCTCCAAAGTAACACAAAATTTTTTTTAGCTTTCACATTTTTTTTGAAAAATAACAAGTTTGAAGACCGCCGATTTTGGGATAATTAAAGCGCGATATATTGCGTTATTCTAACGGTTCACCGATAAATAAATCCGGCTCAGAGCCCATTTCAATTGAATTAAGGAACGCTAGTTGAGTCGCGCTAACATATATCCCTCGTAGTTTACGTTGAGTGTGGAGACCACTATCAAAAAAAATTCGTTACCTATGTTTGCGAAATTTGTATCGAACATTTCACACCAATTGATTACACACACCTCATAATAGTAATAATAATACTAACTGTGGTTTCTGCAATTCGCAGAGGATCTATGAAAGGCTATCTAGTCTGTCTAATCATAGTCCGTTGCTGTTATTTCCCCACACTCCACGCTGAGTTATTTTGTTCAGCGAAGCTCTTTTTTGCGACTCAAGGCCGTTTTTTGCGTCTAGAGCTTTCACGTGGTACCACTGTTGCAGCCGTAATCGGTCAGGCGAAACAGCCAAAACATTTGAGGCGAAACAGCCAAAACATTGTTCCGTTCCGACTGCCTTTCAACGTAGGTAGTGTTTGGCTCAAAAAAGACAAAAAAAAAATTGGAAAATTTCTTTTTTTACCCATCTTACCTCCACATGTCAAGAACTAAATGATTTCTAGTAACGCGTTATTGGGATCAATTTGAATAGTGGGGTAAAACTTTGCATGCCGGTCAAATTAATTATTTCTTCATGCCTAGTTCTTTACATTAGTTCTTCATGCCTAACAAGAAAAAATCACGCATTGACAGGGCTGGTAGATAAGGCAAGGCCTGATTAAAGAAACCTATTGCTTCTTTAAAGGTTAGCCAAAGTTCCCTTCCTCCTTTAGGCAATCAAGGAAATTTTATATCCGGATCACATCAGTAAAATTGCAGAGCTTCACTTTCAACTTCAATGCTATCTTAGTTCTTAAAAAAGCTCTCAGAGTATCGGTGAAAATTCACTTTCAAACACTAGCGATTTGACTATTCGCCACGTTGAAGCTTGCAAATGCAGCGCCTTAGGAATACACTTGTGAAAAAAGCTTTGATGTGAAAGAACAACTAGCAAGCACGTCTTCATTAAACAATCGGCAAGCAGAAATTAATGATTCTTTGAAATATTTCAAGTATACATTAGCTTGAACCGGGGTACAAGCATGATACTTGGGTCAAAAAGAAAAGCAAGTATGAAAGATGGGTCTTGCAATTTGCGTGAAATATTCAAAAACAAGTAATTACACGTAATTGAAGTAATTAAACCAGTACAAAAAACTTTTCTAAGCCATTGATGCAATGAAAAACTTAAAACACTTTAAACCTAGTCAATGGCGTGAATAGGTTCAAAAAATTCAAATTTTTCTCAGCAAGCCATTCAAACTATGATCTTGACAAGAATTGGCAAAAATTGCTTTATCTAATTTAACCATTCAGGCAATGATTTATAAAAGCGTAATATTTTTCTATACGGTGAATCGATGCACGAAATCTCATTTAGCAATTAGCGTTGCGTTTAAAAAACAGACCCTGAGAGCACCCTGCTAGCAGCCCACTACACAGTTGGGAATTCTAAACTTTGTGTAGTTTTTCGAACCACAATTTTGTGAAAATTTCAATTCTGAAAGTGTGAAATCTAAAAAAAAACATCATATCTCGTAAGATCAAAAGTTTTGCAAAAGGCAAGAGTTGCAAAATTTCCTGAAAGTACCCCAGCATGGGTTACTGTTTTCACATTTTGTAAAACTTTCCAAATCTAAATCTTATCAAATGTGTGAAAAACTTTTCACACATTTACATATTCTCATTTGCACACATTCTTGATTAATAGAGAATAAGCAGCAAAGAATAGGTTCGATTGAGCAGATACAGCTCATGCATATAACGCAGAAAGAATTTTTATCGAAGAAAGGGTCGTTAAAAGTCTCGACACTTTCTTCCGAGTGATAGCAAACATAGTTGCATTTTTATACGTTTCCAAAAAAAAGCGTTTCCCAGATTTTTGCTTGGCATTAGTGTACCTCTTTTTTTGTTTCCGTAAAAAAACCTGTTCCCAAATGATACAACTATCGATTAACTAAAAGATTTTTCTTCAATGCTTACAATTTGCAATTTGTATCGTAAGTTCAAGCAGTTATATCATTTTTCATCTAAATCTCAACACTGATATTTCAGATTCAACAAACACAGAACCATCAGCACCCGATTCAGAAGGCACAGCCCAGCCAGCATCTGGGAATGGAATTTACTCGCCGCTTCCGCTTAATTTGTATCGTGGACTGCCAAAAGATTGCACGCATAATTCTGCCAAGCAAGAGATTGCTGACGCCAACATCGGCCAGAGCGACAAGAGTGCTTTCACGAGAGTAGAAAGTAGAAAGGAGGCAATGCAGAGACGATACGAGCTAATGAAACTGATGGAATCGAATCAAGGAATTTTACACTCATTAATGGATAAACACTAATATCAATGACATTTAAAAATTGAATCTGCCGTTGGATTAATTTTAACTGCCACTGGCTACTGTGCCACTAAAAGCTAAGATAGCTCTAATACGTTTAAGTTGTAGATTGAACTAACATTTTCGCGCATCTTCAGGTTGAAAAATCCAATTAGTATATACAAAACACACAAATTTAAAACACAGATAATCTTTTTATAATCTTTGATCATTTTGTACAGATAATTTAGATTTTGCAAAAACATTTGTTTGAATTTACAATTTTAACGCATTCCTAAAATAATAAGAAAAAAGAAATCAGCCTCGAATTAGCAACATCACGGCTACGCTGTAGGATTCGAATCTGCAACCTACTGCAATCAAGAGATTTTGTTATAAGAAATTTAAAATGTTAATTCAAACGTTTTCGCACATTTTGTGCTTCATCAGGATTAAAATTTTTTACAATATTTACAAAACGGTCAAGATCTGAAAAATGAGAAACATGTCTAAAAGGCTCAAAACTTTTTAACCAATCAAATTTAAACAACTGTAATTACATAACATATTTACTTAATCATGAAAAACATTTTCCTGTAAATTTCTGAGATTTTTTAGTTTTTTGTTCTTTCATGGTTATAAAACTTCTATTTGGGAATCATTTTGATTCTGACATGTCAGTTTCTTAACTTTTAGCCATGTTATTCATAGACTATAATTTTAGTATTAATTACCTGCTCCTGAATTCATCGCGTGTGTTGATTTTCGTCCTCTCCCTCCAAATATGCAAAGCCTCTAGTGTCAGTAGCTTATGAGTGTTGGCTGTTTGATCTATAATCTCTGAATTCAGCTCAGCAGTACCTCCTACCTCCTTATTACATTCTAACAAGTGTTTCCCTACTGGGGAGTCCCCTTTGCGGTGATCATCGACCCTCGTGGCTAAATGTCGGACTGTCTGGTCGACATAGGTGGAGTTACATCCACTACATGTAAGCTTGCACAACACTTTGGATCTCACATCACTAGCAAAGGAAGTTTTGAGGGATGGCAAGCATGTTTTCAATTTTCTTGTTGTAAAAAATATTAGTGCCCCGGATATTAGCCAAACTTTCACAGCTAACAGTTGAGATGGATTGCCTCGATATTGCATTGTAAGAAGGGGTGGTGAGTCTTTCAGCCATTTATCACTTCTCGGTTCTGATGTCTTCACCTCTGAATTTTCTTTACCTCAATGATCTTGTTAAGAATTTCAAACACTATCCTGTCAGGCCATTTTTTCGGATACTGATTTTCAATCCATTGCTTCCGATTTTTTCCAATGCCTGGTCAAAATGTTCCCATGTTCAGGTACTTCTAAAAACTCTTTGAACCGTCCCTTCAATAACGTTTCCATTGTACTGCAAAGGTGCGCAGCCTCTGATATTTAGAATGGTGCTGGTATCATTGGAATTTTGGTACCAACCACTTCAACACCATTAACAGTCCGATCTGCTTCCTGTTGTTTTTTGCAGATTATGCAATACCATACTGTTTCAGTGATGTCTGCGTATTCGGATTCCGATATGTTACCACACCCTAAGTGGTACCAATTCAAACAAGCTTCGCGTTCTACCCCTTTTGTCCGATATGTCACCTTTGTCTGACATCTTGGGCACACGTCCTTGTTACCCTCACTTAGCTCTGTCAATTTTGGTACTTCTTTCTTTATTGCAGGATCCTATTCTTTGCGCCACAATTTATCCAATATTACTGCAAGGGAGGCGCCCATTGCTAAATCGTCTTTTTGTACATACCACAAAACAATGTGTTTAAAGTGTACCTTACTCACTGCCAAATTCAGTAGTTTTTTCATAGTCTTGCGAGATGTTTCCGGAGGGTTGACTTGCCCATATAATCTCCTCAGGGCTGTTTCAACCGCTTCCTTGAGCGGGACTTTAGTGTTCAAATTCTTTACATCAAGGGAGATTTTACTCTCGTCAGAGTCCAGCACAGTTTTCTCCAAGATCTTCCTGGACATTTGATTGTTCGTTTCTATGTTTGCCCCCATTTTCATCAAAGTACTTTGCCAATGTTTTATTTATGTTGTCAAATGAGCAACCAGGTAAAAAAAAGGACGGGACGAAGTGGTGTGCCTTGTTTGAGTACTTTTTCTAACCCATACAGCCTAGCCGGCTGCCCTCCCGTTGATCTCAACTTAGTATAAAGAGCTTCGCTAATCTCGTCCTTCTTTTTCATGGCAAGTAATTCTTTGTTTATGTCTTTTTAAACTTTTATAATCACACTGTTTGTCAGATTCTTCCTCTCACCAAATTGTTCTGCTTGTCCAAAAAAAATCTTTTTTTTCTCATATGTCTCCTTTTTCATTACACAAAAACCCACATCCTTATCAAACGGCACTGCCAGAAGACCGTTGTCCTTCAAATACTTTCTGGCTTTTTCAATACCTTTGTCAGAGGGGGTCTGTTTCACATTCTTAGCATATCTCTTTGCAGCTGCTTCAATCTCACATAATTTTTCTCCGGGTTTTCTATTTAACTTCAGATCAGACAAAAAACTATCAATATCAGCAAGGAAGTGAATTTGACTGAAATTGTCTCGTACCAAAGCGGCAAAATCACTTCATCTAAAAGTCTAATTGACCTTTCATCCAAGTTTTTTAATGGTTTTTCCGAAAGTTTTTTGAGCTTTCTCTTGTGTCGGCTTACTGACACTACACCTTGCTTGCCGGTTCAGATAGAATATTACCGAAGGCCACCACTTCTCATCTATACCCCTTCTCACTACCTCTCTTGCTTTTACTAGGTTACCCGATGCCTTGGCCCTATCCGCATTTGCCTGGCTTATCTGAGAGCCCAAGAGCTCAGTTGGAAGTTGTGCACCGCTTGATCCAAAAAACACCGTTATAAGGCACGCGAAACAGTAAAAAATCTGGTATAATGTCGTTATCGAGACAATTTCTCAGAAAATCAATTCTCAGGAAACCGCTATCATATTTATTAAAATATTTTAAATAATATTATACAAGTTTCCAAGTGAGTTTTCTTTTCAGGACCAATCTAAGGAGTGGTGATGGCAGCAAAATTGCGGTCATCTGTTCTTTGCAGTCCACAAGCACTTAAACTCATGTGGCACTCAGCAAAGTAAATTTTAGCCACAAGAAAACCTTACCACTTTTTGGTCGTTAGGTTCCGGCTGGAGGTCCCCAGCCACCACATACGCTCTTCGCGTCTTTGCCCTGCGGCGTCCCTGCGATGGTTTCTTGGTCTGGGACCGTATGCTTGAGAAAATGGCTGGCAGGTGGTCTCGATGGGACAGCACCATACGTAATGTCTTCAACTCCAATTCAATTGACTGGCGCAGTTGAAGATAATCTCTGAGGACCGCAGGATTCTGTCTCTTCCTTCTAGAGATAAGGCTACTAGTTGTTTTTATGTCGATTATCACTGTCTTCCGCAGATCTTCAAAATATCGGGGGTGCCCGTTCTACTGCAGTAGACAATGTCACTAATTTGTCTTCGCTTTGATTGTAAATACGCCAGTAGTTCATCAAGTGGGCAGTGCGTATAGTTGTTCGTGCGATGGGATGATATGCTGTGTTGTTCAGGACGTCGCGCCAGATCATAATCTGCTTCCTGGCCAGAGGTTGCAGTTCCAATAACACTCGTAAATCCTTCCCCCTGTACAAAGTACTGGGGTTCAAAGAAAGTCCGGGGACTGCGTAGACCTTCTGATGCGTCTCTCTCCGTTCCTCTTGCTCAAGATCTTCCAGGCTGTGATAAAGGGAGCTGGCAGCTACAATAATTGCCATTTTAACTCAAACACTACTGACATTATGAGCAAAAAAAGGTAGTAAAATTCTGTACAAATAGAGAAAAAAAATCGAGCTAATGACTGTTTTCCTTAAAGGATATAACAGTTTGCTTATAGCTTATCCCTAGAAAAGGTTAGAATTTATCAAAAATGGTAATAAAAAATTTAAAATGATAATTCAACCGTTTTCGCACATTTTGTGCATCATCAGATCACCAGAATTAAATTTTCTTACAATATTTACAAAACGATCAAAGATCTGAAAATTGAGAAATATCGAGGCAAGAGATTTTGAGTCTCACGCACTATCCACTGAAGCTTAAAAACCGACAAACACTCTTCACGAATAAAGCAGCTGCATATAGTAGTAGTAGTAGTAGTAGTAGTAGTAGTAGTAGTAGTAGTAGTAGAAGTAGGTCAGCCTTTAGAGCTCTTGGCTCAAGGGTTTGCACCCCACAGTTTTGGTCACTTATATTTTCTGCATCGGGTTGCAATTGCCACAATTGCAGATGATTCTCCATGTGCATGAGTTTATTTCAGTATAATGTTCAAAAACTTTATTAGATTTTTGTTAAAACCGTCTTCGTCAGCTCGGTAATCTTGTAGTTTGTTTTCGTTGTAATGATGTTTAACAGTCTGCTAGATCTCTTCCAGAAGTTTTTACTTGTTTTTTCAATATTTATTGTAGTACCGTTGGTTTGTCTTGTATTCATGTCATGTCAGGGTTGTTCTTCATTGATACGGGTTTTCTGATGTTATAATTTACTTGCATGATGGATAGTAAGGGTAGGGCATCGTGTAGTTCGAAGTACATAGATAAAGACAGGACTTGTAGTTGTTTTAATCAATAGTTGTAATTTTCTCAAATGCCAAGTATCCATGAGGTGGCCCGTTTTTGGATTTTTTCGATATCTATCAATTCACCTTTGTTTGCTGACCATGCCTGAGATGCGTATGCTATTACAGGGACTACATACCCTTTCTATGCGTTCAGTTTCATATGTTTGTTTGCTAGTTTCGATACGTTGTGTTTTAAAAAATAGAAAGCTCTCCAGGCCTTGGAACATCTTTAATCACAATTTGCTTTCCAAATTAAGTTCGTCGCCATTATAATACCTAGATTTTTTTGTTCTTTTTAACAACTTAGGCCATTTGTATTTAGCGTCAAATTATCAATCGTTTTGATTGGTAGTGTATAGCATTTATCACTATTGAGTTTCATTTCGTTGTCTGAGCACCATTTTTCTATGCTATTTATGTCTTCTTGTACAAGGGTCAGTCTTTACAAGTTTGAAATCATCTGCATACCTAAAAAATTCGCTATTTTTAATTATAGTTGGTAAATCATTTATAAGTAAGATAAGAAATAGGGGCCAATAATTGACCCTTGTGGCACACCACTAGTTACTGAT